AAGAGAAATAGCTAGGATCACTCAAACAGATCTTCTGGAATTCCTGTGACTTTTGGGTTCGATTTTGGTTCAATTTGGTGGAGGCGATTGTTGAGTTTAGAAGGAATAGAGGTGGAAGGAATTGAATCTGAATATGCAGAGGGGTATTATTTTTTTGTAGAAAATGGAGAGGGAACGAGGTGGGAGAGTTTAAAGGAATGCAGAACTTCCCCAAATTGGAGAGAGAATTTTGATCCGCTTCACAATTTTGTGCGGATTTTCTTCTTCCCCTTCTCATCCGTGTACGGCGGCGAGAGGCTTTGGATCTTGACCGTCATCTAGATTCTTGGTTGAGGCTGAGCGTGTATAGATTGATGTTTGTTTTGTATTAAGGTGATCGAGGACGACAGGCGGGGACGGGGGACCAATGGTTCATTTTCGTGGCGGCGGCTTTGGATAATGGTTTAGTCGGATGTTGGGAGGGGGGATTAAAAAGTTTGATTAATCACCGAACTTTGCCCAACGTCACGTTGTAGTCACTGAACTTTCGTTTGCTGCTCAACAATCACTGAACTTACAAACGAACCACTCCATCCATCACCCATGTGCCCAGCCGTTAGAACCACTCTCACGTGGCTTGACGGTAGTCGATGTGGCAATCGACGGCGTGAAACTCAGCCGTGGTGGATGCCATTTCAACTGAAAAAACACGATCCTCACAATTAATTAGAAAACAAAAGTCTCAAATCCCCAATTGCAAATCGAAACCCTAGATCGATTTCCTTCAACACCCACCTCCAAATCGATTCTTCCACACTTGTCGAGTGGCAGATCTTCATCGCCTCCACAGCAACACCAAACTGATTGTGCGATAATTATTTGGTGGTTTGTGCGGCTCTTAATGCAGTGTGCAGGTTGATTAATGAGGAGATCCCAGAAGCTTTTGATTTCTTGAATATAAGCACGATTTCTGATAATTTTAGTTCTGGGTCTTGGATTTCTTGTGGAATTCTTCCTAATTCCACCCTAATTTTCGTGATTTCAGATAAGATCCCAGAAAATTTGAGGGCTTTTCTGAACTCGGTCTAGGAATTCTGATTATTTCAAGATGTGCTTTGCTTTTATTTTTTTGTTTCGACATTGAGATCGCTATTTTTTGTCAGTCAATTACAATTTCTTAGCGGGCAGTGTTTAATTTATCAACCACAATATCTTAGTGGGTTTGATGAATTCAATGGAGCCTCCTTTAGCGGGTCAATGTTTAATTTATCAACCACGATTGTTGGAGCTGGAATCATGGCATTACCAGCAACATCGAAGGTTTTAGGACTTTTTGTTCGGATTGCTATGATCGTCTTTATGGCATTCTTGACAGAGGCTTCCATTGAGTTGTTGCTTAGGTACAGTAGGACTGCAAAATTAGTTTCTTATGCAGAATGTTTATACAAATTAGTTTCTTATGGGGGATGCTTTCGAAAAGTATGGCAGAATGTTGATACAAATCTGTGTAATAGTTAGTTTGCATGATTATTTTAGGTATTTCTTCAATTGAATTGAGGTGATGTGCTTTCTGGAACCACTTCAAGTGGAGTTCATCATGCTGGTGTTCTTGAAGCTTGGTTTGGACAGCACTGGTGGAATGGGAAACAGCCGGATTAATGTCGTGGTGGAGTGATCTCATTTGCAGTCACCTTTTTTGTCAACGTCGTCTATATTTTCTGTTAATATATTTCAGATGTCGCCTAAACGATTTTGTAGTATCACTATTAGTTTTTCTAATCAATGAAACTGAATGGTTTTCGACTGGTCAATTTTCTGTTTTTTTCTTCAAATTGGAATTGCACAGACATACATACATACATACAAATATGTGACTCGTAAAAAATGTGCAATATATTTCATCTTTCATAAGAAAATTTCATTATTGATATGGTCTGTCTTATGCACGATGGGCATATGAAGTTCTGATGTTTTAAGGTTCCATTTCGTCACTGGGTAATTTGTTAACTCACAAGCAAATCCAACAACACATTTGACACAATTTTTACATAAATATAAGCTTCATTACAAGCAAATTCAACTACTAAACTGAAGGCCAATGAACATACAACAAACATAATTGACAACATCTTTAATGCCGATTACATAAACATGAAGTTCGACAAGTACAACAAAATTCTTTATTTGAGCAACTCTGGAATTCATTCCGTTCATCGCCCCTTACCAACTTTTCGAAAACACCATGCCTGTAACAAAATTCAACGCAATGGTGTCGGGACTTTTCCAATTGGGCAGTTCATATGAGTTGATTGTGACCAAAAAAGCAGGCAGGTCTTCTTAATCCAATTTACTGGATGTTGTCAACAAGGATATGAAATCATTGATAGTTGATACAACCACAGATCAGCTCCTTCAATTTGTAATCATTTAGTAAGTTTACAAATCAAAGATCAGCTCCTTCAATTTATCGACCAAGGATGTTGAATCGATACACATTCATTCTGATGCATCCTATTACATTTAAATGGATACACCACGACTGCATTATTCTCAGTGATTGATCAAAAAGCATAACATCTCAACAAGGCAAATAATGTAAAAAAAACTTCATTAATACCATAAAGAAAGCACAGCGAAGTACTTTAAGTAGCAGATTACAACCCCAACTAGTTTGTTGCAAAATATGGCATAACTTTTAAAGTAGAGTACTAAAAACAAATTGTTTTTCTATTGAGCAGCTGCATTGGTCCTTTCCTTGGAGGTGCATATTGAAGTCCAAATCATCTTTTCCTTCTGCTTCAAGCTGCACAGCCATTCTCTTGGCAGCATCCAGCCATCCACACCAAATATTTGGCCATTCTGCCTTCCTACGAGAAGTGTGAATGGATAGAGAACCTGTGCTACACGGGGTCTTCTAGAGATTCCAGTCTCTTTTGATCAAATAGTAAATGATCTTTCCCCCCTTCCTCTCTAAATACTTCATTTCTGCTCCTAGCACTTCTGACATCGTAAAAAATTATTAAAATAATAAAAACTTCAAACTAATATTTTATAATATTATGACTATTTAACTTAAATACTTTTTTCAATCAGAAAATCCACAAAATCAAGGAACTGGGACAATGTGTATCACAGAAACATAACAAATGCATAAACATAAACGATTTGCAAAAAATCAATAAAAAAAATTGTAGTAGTTTAAAACTAGGACCAACAAAGCATACGGAAACAAGTGAATGAAGAAAAAACATTAACCTTCATGTGCTGAAGAAGCAGATTCTACTAAAACAAAAACAAGAATTAATAAATACATTGCTATTCTCTTTTCTTGTTCAGCTGGAGAGCTTCAATTTTGAAAAAAATCTGGTGTTGCTGTGAAGGAGATGAAATTCT